GATATGAGTGGACTTGCCATTAGGTTTGATTAAGTAGTCAACAAAATTTGAAAACCAGCCAACCCTGTTGCTTTGCTCATGGAGAACTGTTGCCTTTTGCTCCTGTTTTTGGTGGAAAGCTTTTACAAACTGGATCACACCTCTCCTCATTGCTGAGCGAATGTACAAAAAGGATAAAGATTTCCAATTTCAGCAACAGGACCCTATTAAGTAGAGCAAAAACCCAGTGAAATCGGTAATTGTTGGTCTAAGGAATTGGTTGTGTCCAGCTGGTTCAGAAAGACATTTATTAAGGCTTGGGGAAAGTGACATTATTAAAGTGAGCATGCTGATTTCAGACAGCTCCCAATTCATCACTCTGACAGTGACAAACACAGCCCGAGGTTAAGCAAATGACTAAAGAGAATTCTCTGGCTTTACATTTTTAATGCTCACCACATTTTCTGGGCTGTGGAGGGTTCTATTCAAAGGATCCTCTCCCCTGAATAGAAAGGGCAGAGCTAGGCCATGAAACATGCTTAGGTTTTGCAAATCAAGTAGGGCCTCTGTCACTCGGCTAGCGCTAGTTCATTTATTTTTTAATTATTCCTCACTCCTTAAAAGATCCCTTTTCCCCATTTTCCAGAAGAACAGGAGCATTTGACTCAGCTGTGCCGCCTCTATTCTTCCTGACTCGTTCATCATTGTCTGCTCCCTGAATGGAAAGTGGAGGGTCAGTTTTAAAAGGCTCCATGCTACAAGCTTGCCTAAATACATCAATAACTCCCTAATGGAACTGGAGTCTTGTCACTCAGACCACCCAGGTCTCTTGGAAAGAAAATGTGCCTCAGATACTATGGGATACTCCTTAACCCCTTCCCCATACCTCAGGCTCTCATACAATGATGACATAAGCAGCTTATCATCCCTACCACAGCTTCTTTTGCAACAGTATTATTATTATTATTATTATTATTATTATTACTATTATTATAGGAGCCCCCGGTGGCGCAGTGGGTTAAAGAACTGTGCCAGCAGGACTGAAGACCGACAGGTCGCAGGTTTGAATCCGGGGAGAGGTGGATGAGCTCCCTCTATTAGCTCTAAGCTCCTCATGTGGGGACATGAGAGAAGCCTCCCACAAGGATGATAAAACATCAAAAATCATCCAGGCGTCCCCTGGGCAACGTCCTTGCAGACGGCCAATTCTCTCACAACAGGAGTGGTTGCTCCTGACACAACAAAAAAAACCACAACCCTATTATTATTTCTCTTTTCTCTCCAAATTGGGAGCCAAGATGGCTTGCCATTTTTTTAAAAAAAATACATTGGATACCACTTTGTTTTCAAGTTCAGTGCAAACTACTAGCTTTGAACTTGAAAGCTTTACATTGCTTGGGGTCAGGGCAACTCCTGAATTGCTTCTTTCTGCATGAACCTGTCGAAGAACAAGGTCACTTCTCCATGTTCTCTTACCATCTGCAATATAACAAGTATACCATCTGTATTGTAGAATGGCTTCCTTAAAGAGGTTCAACTTCGCCCCTCCACTGCCTAAAAATGATGAGGACTTTTATTTCTGCACATATTTAACTAATGTGGCTTCCCCTCATATGAATGCTTTAGAATTCTGTTACCTGTTTTTTGTTTTAATTGCTTTTTCTCTGCTGTATGATTGATTTAACTTTTGTGCAATCTGTCTTGAATACACTCATTTCCAGAAACAGCAGGTGCATTTATGATAGATAGATAAATAAAAAAATCCTAAATATGCTGAAAGAACCAGATCCTGTTGATTTTGGAAGGTAAGCCAGGTCACGCTTTGTTGACACTTTTATGAGGCTTCAGCCTCATCAAAGAAAGGCAAGTGGGAAATCCCTTCTGAGGATTCCTTGCCATAGAAAACCCTATAAAATTCATGGTGTTGCCACATATCAACAGGAAACTTGAATGCACATGCATATATGCACACAAATGCACCAAGTGATGGTCACTTGGTGTTGTCTTCTGGTTTATAGGCATTTATTTACAGGCTATCCAATGCAAGGTTTCACAGGGCAGCATACTTTATAAATAGTACAATTTAACAATAAACCATACCAGTACAATTTGTGTACCAGATAACGGAATTCATCAATACTGTTGTTATTTGCCACCAAAATCCTATGCATGAGAAACCTCCAAGAACATTGATCATCAATTGCTTTGTTCTGGTCTTGCAAACACAACATTGTCATTCTTTGATTGATCAATCTACTTGCAGTGTTGTCTTTACTTTTTCCGATTGCCTTCCCTATTACCCAGTACAGTCAACCCTTCACATTTGCCAGTTTAACGTTTTGCTGGTTTCATTATTCACTGATGTGTTTAATATATTCCCTCTAGGTCCACCTGGATGATGCTATGGTCAGTGTCTGACAGATACTGACCACAGAGTCATGCTGGAGGATCTAGAGCAGTGATTCTCAATCTGTGAGTCCCCAGATGTTCTGGCCTTCAATTCCCAGAAATCCTAATAGCTGGTAAACTGGCTGGTATTTCTGGGAGTTGTGGGTCAAAACAGCTGGGGACCCACAGGTTGTGGACCACTGATCTAGAGAGATTGTTAGATAATGTTCTCTCGGGGGGGGGGGGGGGGGGGGGGGGGCTGTGTCCTAGCCCCAATTAAAGTTAATCGCCTATTGTATTATTGTCTTTTATACCTCATGCTATGTCCAACACACAGCAGTCTCAATTTAGTCATCTTGGCTTCTAGTGAAAGTTCTGCCTTGTTTTGGTCCAAGACCCATTATTTATTCTTTTTAGCAGTCCTAATATCCATAGAATTCCCTTCCATCACCACATTTCAAATTAATTTTCTTTCTGTCAGCATTCTTCATTGGCCATGTTTCATGGCTATAAATAGAAATTAATATAGAAACATTTAATTTAATCCCACCCACTGGCTTCTCAAGTTCTAAGGCTGTCTGGAGAGAAAGAAATCATAAGTAGGCTGCCATCAAAGAAAAGGTCCTTTTTGCCTTTTGCACTTCACTTGCAAAGGCACCAACAGAGGGGCTTTTGAAGATTATCTCTAAGGTCCAGGTAGCACATACTGTATTTGGGCACTAAATTTAAAAAATCTTGAGGAAGAACAAGCACAAATGAACTGTCCTGATATGTGTGCTGCATACAGTTCATCATTGCTTGTTTCCATATTTACAAATCGAGTATCAAACAAGAAATTTCATCAGCATGAAAATATTGGAGATTTTCTGATCTCCTTCAGAAAGGCTTTGACCAATATGACCCTCCTACCTTCACTTTTCTTGCATAAGATGACTGCACAGCAGGAATTGAATTATAGCATCCAGGTGCTTTTGAACATAGGATGCTGCCTTACACTAAGTCCAACTATTGGTTCCATATTGGAAACAAAGTAGCATACAAATTAATGAAACAAATCCATCTGCTAGATTCTAACTTACTATTATCTATGTTGAGTGGCAATAGCGTTCTAGTTTTTTTCCCCATAGGAAATGTACCCAGTCCTACCTGGACGTAGTGGAGATTATACCTGGTTGATAATGGATGCAAAATGGGAGCCTTTTGTTACTTCTTCCTGAAATAGTCATCAGATATCAAGTGTGGGCAGTTGTTGAGGACACAGAGGCCAATTTTGGCCACTGAACCCTCTCAGAAAAACAAGTCGATAACAACAAAATCAGGGGATATTTTTAGTTTCTGTTTTTGGCTACCATCAGCCAGTTTTCATTGTTGGGAAGGCTGTTGGGAGATTCTGGTATTTCAGTGGTATCTGGCATACCTGGAAGCCAGGAATGGCTTTCTGATCTATCCTAAGTGATTTTGTTTCATTCATTTTTTGGAGGATGCTGTTGTGACTTGGCGGACTATCAGAGTCAGAAAGGCTGCCAAAAGCTTCTGGAGGTTTCTCACTCTGTTATGAGCAAAAAGATTTCATAGGTATTTCTGCTACCATATAAAAGTCATTATTTTACAGATGGAGAAATGCAGAAAATGGAAGTGAAGCAGGATATGTGTTCTGATGACTTAGCTGGAAAGCTGCATTTATTTTTGAAACAAAATCCACCAAAATTATACTTCAAGGCATCCTAAAAATTGGACCCTGTGGCAGCAATTTCCTTTCACCACACACATACATTACCCAACTCTAATGAGTGGTGTCCTCTGTCCCACTTAGTATAAATTCATTTTTATATATGTCTATAATATAGCTAGCACCTCTCTTGTTTAGGACAATGTGTACACTACCACCAAGAATTCATCATATTAAATAAGTCAAGGCAAATCAGAGCTAGTCCTCCCCCAAAAAGTATTTGGTCTGTTATTATAGTACACAATCATTTAAGTTTCAGTCTGAGTGCTATATTTCAGAGGAAGGAACCAGCTCTTAGTATTTCTTGCCTAAGAAAATCCTATGAAATTAATGGGGTTTCCATAAGTTGACTGGCGACTAATAGACATGCACACATTGAATGCAACCCAGGTATTTTCATATATTTATTATCAATGTTGATATATTTATTATCAATGTTATCAATTATAATTTGGTCATATATATGGATTTATTTTAGTATATGTGGGTTTATTGTAGTTTATTTTGGGTTCTGGTAGGTTTATTATTGTATTTGTATTTATTGTTGTTTCAGGCATTGAATGCTTGCCTTTTTGTCATTGGAATCTACCCTGAGTTCCCTCAGGGAGATAGGGCAGAATATGAATAATTTTAAAAATGTACAGCTTTTATAAAATGTAATTGTGATATTTTTCCAGATATAGGAACATACATATTATAATCAAAAGTATTTTAAATGCATTTATATATGCTTGTGTATGCATATGTGGACAAAGATAACTTCATAAATTATTAATCACTTAAATGATCATTCAAACATAAGCATAAATCTAGAAAAATGAATATGTTGGTGTTATTTGTGCCTTTCTTGTTATTTCTTGTTGTCATACATTTATTTTTCTTCCTCTGCTTTGTTCTTTTAAAGTGTTTTGGTTTCCCTAAAGCCATAAAACCATCTCCTCGATTAAAATCTGAGAGCCTGAAGAAAAAAAGCAAAAGCATTGCTGCTGGAAATCCGAGGAAACATTATATATGGAAGGACTTCATTTCTATTGTTCTTGCCTTCCTACAGTGCCGCTTGATGCTGATTAAGGTATTATTCTAACACTTTCTGGCGATGTTGTTTACCCAGAAAAGCAATTGACAGCAAAAATGCAGGTAGAGGGTGAGGAATGAGCTCACTTTGTGGCTGCATAGTTAGCCATCTGACAGCTTCATTTGATTGCACTTTGCTCTCTCTTGGCCATTACCGCAGAAAAGTGCCCCCGATGCCTAGAATAAAAGTAGCCTAGAGATGAGCGAAAGATGGCAATCTGCTCAAAAACCTTGCAGACAGGAATGCTCATTAAGGCGTCTCTCTAGTCATAGTTTTCGAGCCTCACAGGAGGCATCAGGGCTCATATTCAAACGAAGGGTTCTGGCAGACAGGTATACAGAAACCTGTCAAGGGAAAGTGGTGGACGGCTGGCAGGGGGAAAGTGCAGCTGTAGAACTGAATTAAACAGGCTGTGCATTTCTGTGGTTTATCTGTATTGGAGCTGCTTTGTTCTAAAGTCAGGGTCTGTCATTGCGAAAGACAAGGTCAGGCTGAAGCAGAGAGGACAAAGCTAGCCTCCTCCGGTTCCCAGGTTACTGGCTGGGAGGGATGCAGTTTTCATTGCTGTGTGGAACTGACTGTTCCGAGGTGCTGAAGGGCTCTTTAATGAATGCTGAGCGGCTGTGTTTGAAGTTGGAAGGTCAGTCAAATATTCCCTGTAACCTTGGAGGGTTTAATGATGCCCCGAGTGCAAGCCAGGCTATTGAAAAGCAACCATCTCAAACGGGATTTTGGCGCTCGCCTCTTCTTTTTCATCTGGCTGGAGTAATCCATAGATTGGAATGCTTCATTTCAGCAGGAGTTGTGGTGGGAGGGGAGTTCACAGATAAGTCATTTGGACTTGCTGTGTTTGGTTTTGCTTCACAACCTTTGTTCAAGGCAAAAAATCTTTAAGCATTCAATAAAGTCTCTACGAGCACAACAACCAGTACTGTCCTTAGATATTCTTTGTTTTTCATCTGAAAGTGATCAGTCATTACACACACACATATGCATACACATGGATTCATAAAAATGGTATCCTTTGGTGAGCCTGCTGTTGTCAGAGCTTAGAAATCTTACTTTTTTGAACTGTAACTCCTTGAATGCCCTAGTCAGATTGATTAGCAGCATGTTGACTGGAGGATTTTGGAAGCTATAATCCAAATCCATAATTTTCTGTGCTCTTTTGTCATGGTAAGATAGTTCTTCGTTCAAGGGCCATCCCGAGTCACTTTGCTGACACACATTTTCCATGTGAAGAAACTAAGGCCCCTCCACGCAACCCTATATCTCAGAATATGAAGGCAAAAAATCCCACATTATCTGAGTGTGGACTCAGATAACCCAGTTCAAAGAAGATATTGTGGGATTTTCTGCCTTGATATTCTGGGAAATAGGGCTTTGTGGAGAGGCCTTGACTTGGCTGTCCACTGGACCATACTTCAATACTGGCAAGAGCATCTTCCACCACACCTGAGAGCAGGGAGTCTGATTCAACATACGTACTTCTTTCTTCCACCATAGCACTTGCTGGAAAATATCTCCCAGCCAACCATCCTCATTAACCCCCTTCATCCATTTGCAACCAGAGCAAGAGGGCTTTAGACAATAAGTGTTTCCTGCATACCTCAACCCTATATATGTTGTCTAAAGCTTTCCCCATTTGCTCAGTTTTCCATTGTGGGGATGTATCTCAGCAATGACAACATATAACCAAAAAACCCTTCTAGGTGTGCTTAAAAGACTCTTCTCTCTCTTCCTCCTCCCTCAAGATGATAAGTGCTTTGCTGAACAATTCCCTGTCTTGAAACTTTCGTGTAGTTAGTGAGAACTTAGGTGTATGTATTTCAATGTACTTTTGAATGTAATTAATGTTTTAGCTATGAAACGAGCATATCCTTTGTTTGCCTTACTGAGCTAAAACTAGTCTGTGGATCCTTCCACACCGCCCTATATCCCAGAATATCAAGGCAGAAAACCTCACATTATTTGAGTGTGGACTCAGATTACCCAATTCAAAGCAGATATTGTGGGATTTTCTGCCTTGATATTCTGGGATATAGGACTGTGTGGAAGGACCGTCAAGGAGACCAAAGCAATCTGGTTTCTACTTGTGAATTCTATTAAAGGAGGCTGAGTCTTAATTGTACCAGTCTTCATCCTTCCCAGAAAAGGGGCCAACAGCCTGGGAATCTGCTTCTGATCCAATACCACTGTCAATCACTTATTGCTCTAATGGTGGATGTCTTGATGCCTACCAGAACAAATATTGTGATTCTATGAACTTAGGTAAGGAGATTGTCTTAATATGCTGACTGTGACATACTGAGATGAAGAGACTATGTGAGACAGCCAGTCCAAAGCAGCATTGCCACCAGGGGAAAGGGTCTGGAAGATGGGAATGCGAGGGGGGCAGGCAAGTCAGGAGGAACAGCTGGGGCTTCTTCTGAAATTGTCCCACTTCCTCAGTAGCTAAGTGAAGCAATCATTGCCACAAGCCACACTAGGTCTGGAGAATGAGGATACTGGGAATGGGAATGTCAGAAGGCATGCTTGATAGAAAAGCAGGCACTATTCCAGCTAGAACTGGTAGGTAAAATAAGGGATAGGGCTGCTATCCCATTAAAGCAACAGCAACCCTCTTCCTTTATTTCAGCTGGCAGCCCAAGCCCCAGCAACGTATACCTATGGTGGTCAATATTACTTCATGATGTCACCTTTGGAACTGTTGCTTTAACATTGCTTCACAGTAAACTTAGCCTCCAAAAACAAGATAGAGTGTTTTTAACTTGACTCTTAAGTATGAGATAACACAATCTCTTTCCATTTTCACTAAATGAGCAGCAATGCATTTGCTATCACTGAGTCACTTATCTTTTCTCTCTAATGTCTTTGGTTACTTGCTTTAGCTAGATAAGGAGTCAGGAGGTGACAATTTGTCTTGTTCCTAAGTCATAAATACAGAGGTTAGACTCTCTTCCTACAAGCTTTTCTGCTGCTTTTCATTTCTCTGTTACTTTGGAAGTCATGCATCAGTGGATCAACAGAGGAAGGCTCAAGGAAGAAACTAATATGCTATGCTCCCATTTGTGTGGACAATTTTAAAAATGTATAATAAGACATATTACATAGCTAAATTTATGAGGATTTAAAAAAAATGACACTCCTTCCCTCTGAAATTAATTCTTCAAGCCAAATGTGGGACCCAAATCTACAACCTTAAGGTTAAGAGTCTTGCCCTCTGCCACAACAGCTTGCCAGGCCAATGTATGAAATAACAATAAAAACATCCATACATTACAGCTGAAGAGAGGGAGCTAGAAATAAGTGAGTTGCCTTGCAGCTGCAACTGTACCAGAAAGAGAACATGCAAGTCATTGGACCATAACTGAACACAGCAAGATTCAGTGACAGGGTTGAAAGCAAGTCAGCCAGTGCTTAATTTCTAGTAAAGATGTAAGGTCTCATACAAACTTTATTTTGTCAAAAATATATATTCTTGACTTGAGAAATAAGACCTCATATAAAAAGATTTACAAAAATAATAGCGTCCCCAAAGATGAGTTTCTGGAGTGTACATAGTCAACAGCTACTCTTTGTCAGGTAAGATTATCTGATATACCTGGTATAGTAGTAGCTGTGGTTCCCCCAGCATCTCTGGTAGCAAGGCTGGTCCTACTTTTAGACAGAGATTACTCTTCCAGGAAGGAGATATTGAGAGACAACAAGATCTGTGCTGCATTCCTGTAACTAGCTTGTTGCCTTCCGGCGCAGAGGAAGATTGGTCAAGTCAAACTATTAAATTGCCAGCTCATCTGGGTTTTGATCAAGGTTTTGTTTGGTTGTTTTTGTTGCATTTTACCCTACATAGTAAAATATCTTGGGCAGAATGTCACCATCTGTATCTAATCCATTGAATCTTAGACTGTCTAGATGCAAAGCACATACTCTTATTCCTGAGCAGTGTTTCACCAATTGTACAGGTTCTATGTAAGTGATGCAAATTTTTGGAACATTTCTCTGAAATACCTACAAGGTACTCTTTGTTTTGAGGGTGGAGCAAAAACAAACACCCACAATGTTCTGTCGTTTATTATATTACTCTGTGTAGATTTCTTTTGGATGCCCTTGCCTGTCCTAGGGGATGCCCCAGTTCACTTTTGCTTGCTTTTGTGGGCTGCATGGCTTCTGCAAGATGAAGAGGAAAAAGGAAGAAGCTGACAGTGAACAAGAGACAGCTGTCTGAGAGGAGAACACATTCTTTTGGGGTGCTATCTTCAACAGTATTGAGTTGGGAGAAGATTGCTGCTACAGTAACTTGGTATGATATTATTATTTATATTGTTCATTATGTATTTTGTGTATTGATGTGTATATATTTGTGGTTTGAAACTTTGTATGCTGCTTTGAATCACACCCATTGGAGAAAAGCGGGATATAAATTAATTAATGTCTTTAGGCTACCTCTCATGGCCATCCCCCCTCTCAATGTCCTGATCATCCTCCATCTAATCCATAGGTATCTCAAGTCATGGGAGGGGGTAGGATTGATGTGAGGATTATCTCAAACATGTAGAGGTGGCAGGGCCAAATAAGTAATACATATCTTAATGTGAAGGATAGAAGATTGGAAGGAGCTCTATTTATTTTGAGAATCTGGAGCTCTACAAACAGGAATCTGATCTAAAATACATCCTCTTAAATTAAAAATTATAGATCCAAGGCATTTAGTTTGAGGACTTGGACTGAATTGCAGCCCACAGTCATCATCTGTAAAACTCCTTTCTAAGTTACCCGATTTTGTCTTACTTTGTGCTTGTCTTATCACCATCCTATGGAGTCTGGTGTATGTGTTTGTGTGTGTGTGTGTGTGTGTGAATGTCTATGGAGAGATTCTAGCTGTATGTTCCTGACTGTGATGCTACCCTCACCCTTCCAGCTCTCCCATGGAGCTTGATGGATTAGAACAGGAAGGTGCTCTGGCAGGAAGAGATGAACCCGCTATGTGAATGATAGCCTCTCTCATCAGCATTGGCAGTGGGAAGAGGAGAATGTGGAAGACGTTAATGTTGTTATTACATTTATTTCTTTGTTTCTTTCCCTCCAGAGACTTTAGAGATCATCAAAACATTTTTTTCTCTGCAAAAAAAAATGTTATTGAAGATCTAGAAGCTACCTAGCAAAATGGCAATTCTGCAGCTCCCTAATTTGAATCACACCAAGCCTTAGAGACTGTAGATATTCATGACTCAGAATATTCTGTTTACTGAGGTACACATTTAGACTTCTTAAAAACTTGTGTTGTAAAAAAGCTATCTTTTAAAAAGTTGTTTTCCTCTCTCTACATGCTATAATCCTGATAATTATCAGCTCTTCCTCAGCAACTTGAATTTTCCCTTCATTTTTTTTAAAAGGCAAAGAGATACTTGAGTCTTCAGCTTCTCTAATGGCAGTCCAGTACCACTCCCTTTAAACATTCTCCCACCAAACTGGCTGTGTGAGATATGTTCCTACAACAATGTCCAGCTAAACCAAGGCACTACAAGCTTGGGTGATACTTGGTAGATTCTTGGTAATTTTGATATTGCTTTGCAGCAAAGCATAGTGATGAACTCTCTTTAAACCTTTCTAGTTTTTTTTAAATTTCTGCTAGAAGACCTGATTGCTATTAGAATAGTAAAGTTTTATAACATAGTATATATACTGGAAACCAACATATAGTATACATAATGGTCTCTGGTTTGATTCCTTGCCATGGATTGTACAGTACAGTCAGGCAGTCCCCAAGTTAAGAACAGCATAGGTTATGTAGGTTTGCTCTTAAGTTGAATTTGTATGTTAGCTGGAACAGGTACATTTTATAAGTGTATCTCCAGATACACACACACACACATGCTTTGTGTAGCATAAGGAAGGATTAATACCCCTGTGGTGTTTGTTTTGCTGTCTGTGCCCCTGTTCAGAAGATTTCACCCCACTTTCTGTCCCTGTGAAAACTGAATTTTGAAGGAAGTGGCTTGTTGTGGAAACAAGGACTGGTGTTAAAGCTTTTCCCCATGACAACTCTTTCAGGTGTGAATTTCCCTTCTGAGGGGTAGATTTGTCTCACTTCCTCTTGTCTCACCCCTATTTGTAACTATGAGTTATTTGTAAGTCAGATGTTTGTAACTTAGGGATTGCCTGTATTTTATTTTCTTGTTTCTACAAGGCTACATGAAATATCTATCCAGCAAAGATATCAAATTGTAGGCTACATATGATATCATCTGAGAGGAGGGCTGGGCACTTTTAAAAGAAAAAGGAGAACCTAAGAGATTTTAATTCATCTTTGTCAGTACTAGACAAAGAAATGATGTTGCTGTAGGAGATGCCTGAGTTGCTTCAAACCTGTAACTCTGAAGAGCAGGACAATAATGGGCTGAAGCTACAATGGGATTCAATTGGCATTCAGCCATTAACCTCACTGTATCACCCTGAAATGTTCACAGGGTAAGACTTTTATTTCATCCTATTGCCATGGAGCTGAAAGGAAACACTAATATAAGATTCTGACTAGTTCAAAAGCTACGCTAGGAAAATAACGTTACTTATCAAACAATGGCTATGCCCTCTGACATGCCCCATTTGATGCCAGGACACTATCTGTTTTTCACTTCAGGCTAAGTCTCACTCAAAATGTGGAACATCCTTCTAACATTGCACGAACAGCAGAGTATACTGTTTTTATGGATGAGGAGGCTAAGCTGATATGCTTTATATTAACTTGACTGGAAGATGGTAGTGGCTCAACATGGGTCCCGACTATCCCCCTAAGTCAGTGGTTCTCAACCTGGGGTCCCCAGAGGTTTTTGGCCTACAATTCCCAGAAATCCCAGCCAGTTTAGCAGCTGTTAGGATTTCTGGGAGTTGAAGGCCAAAAACATCTGGGGACCCCAGGTTGAGAACCACTGCCCTAAGTAATATATTAATAAGCAGATGAGAGAAAGTGAGCAGGAGGGAGCAGAGTATCTGTGATCTATAAAGACAATCTTAACCTGACCGGATCATGTATTAGGGAGCTGAACGCCATTGAGTGTGTATGCCTAAGCCTAAAACCTGGGATAGATTGGTGATTATTATTACACCATCCTTCCCTCTGCCTATAAGAGTCCCTGGCCAGGCTTATGGAAATAATGTTATCTGTAAACACTGATAATCTTAAGGCTGAACTTTTGCAATGAACTGTGCATTGGGCTACCTCAGATTCAGAAACTTCAGTTAGTTCAAAACATGACAGCCAGTTTGGTTACTGGTGCTTCTTAAGAGTGACCATATTTCACCAACGTTGGCTGTCTATTAGTTCTCAGATAAAGTACAAAGTGTTAGTCATTACTTTAAAGCTCTACATGGCCCAAGTTACCTACAGGATTGCCCTTTCCCATATCATTCACCCTGTACACTCGGGTCCTCTGGAAGACATCTACTTCAATCAGCCAAAATGAGATGAATCACCTCATCACATTGGGGCAAATTGCCCTTTGCGGCACTTTGGGTGCGGTCCCTGTTGAGCACTTGGCAGGCCCTGCTCCATTGATTCTCCAAGAGCAGAGGAAGCATGGCAAAACGAAAGTGTTTTTCAGGTAGCTCCAACAGAGCTACTCCCATTTTCCTCTCTTTTCCCCATATGATGGGAGAAAGGGTAACGTGGCAACGGGCCTTGCCACCCTTTCTCCCATCTGATGGGGACAGAGCACCAACATGCCTTGTACTCAGGCCCGTAGCCAGGATTTTGATTCAAGGGGGGGGGGGGGCTGAGGTTTTTTCAGGGGTTTTTTGGGGGGGCTGAGTTTCGGGGGGGGGGCTGAGTCTGAGTGAAAGAGGGTCTACCCTAGCAAACCTTTTGTATCATTACCCCAATACCCCCATGCATATGGTATATGTTGAGTATGGTGATCAGATCATGATATGAATAAACATAACAGTTTAAATAATGCCCCAGTAAGGCCTTTTCACGAACCACCATGAGAATTTCGGGGGGGGGGGGCTGAAGCCCCTCAACCCCCCCCCCCCAGCTACATACCTGCTTGTACTGCCCCTCACTTATGATGGGGAAGGAGGGAGGATGCACGGGTGCCACAAGGTGCCCTGCACACCTGCCATTTTGGTAGCAAATGCCAGCAAAACAGAGCAACAGCAAGGTAAGTGTAGAGAGGTCCTGACAGTTGCCTCGAGGACAGCTTCTTTGGCCATCTCCAGACTGTGGAATGACTGCTGGAAGAGATTTGTCAGTTTGAGATGTTGTCTGAGTTAAAATCAGCAGTAAGTGCCAGTCTCTTCTATCAGGCCTATCCAGATTATTTTTAAATTGTGGCTGTTAAAGTATTTGTGAAAAGTTTTAATATACTCTAACTTTTGTTATGTGATGTGCTTTCTTAGTTGTTCATCCTCATCTAGATTCACAGGGAGAGGCGAGCAATGTACTTATAGATAAATTGATTGATGATTGCAAGGCTCCACAAGAAAGCACTCAGAGTTTTCTTCTACCATATTTTAACTACTGAAATGTGTGGGAGTCTCTACATCTCTATATAACTGGTAGACACATAAACATACTGTTATTAGCAATTTCCACCAATCTTTTTAGATCAGTGTTGTAAATGCTGCCTTGTACAAACTGAGGAATACTAACTAATGGGCACCCATCACCTGACTTCCCTTCACCTTAGATCAGAGCTGGGCAAGTCTGTAAGATCTGGGAGGGGGAGGGGACACCTGTTTCCACCAGAAACAAACAAGGAATTCCCAAAACTTCTAGAGGTGTGGGGCATCTTCACTTTGTTCTGGGTTTCAAAAAAGGCCTCTCTAGGGCCTACACTGGTTGTGTGTGTGTGTGTGTGCGTGTGTGTATGTGTATGTGCAAAATATAGTGGAAATGCACCTCATGTCACATAATTGAAATTTTTGATCATTGGGGGGGGGGGGGGGGGGGAGCCTCCAAACATGAAAACATGATATAAGAATCCTTTATGCCCATTGATTGTCACAGCTTATTATAATAAATAATACACTTTATTTACACATTGCAACAATACATAAACATTAAAACAATAACACATAAAATTATAGCAGCAATCACAACGAGTGCACATAACATCACATAATAATAAAATTGTTAAAACTATAAAACGCAGTAGAACCTACGGATAACACTGGCTGTCATCAATTAATGAACTAAAGTGCCAGAGGGAGTAATCAATCTTCACATACACCCATTTCAGTCTATTCAAGGTCAAAGGCCCATTTAAAAAGCCATGTTTTTAGGCTAGATCAAAAGGGAGGGCATTCTAGGGCCAGGGAGCCACCACTGAGAAGGCCCTCTCTCTTGTCTTCACCAACCATACTTGAGACAATGGCGGGACTGAGAGAAGGGCATTCCCAGCCATTTTCAGATCTCAGAACCCGTACTGGTTAACAGAAGGAGATGTGGTTTATATGTACTTGCAGAATATGCTAGGAGCTCCTAATTAAGTGGTGACATTTACCTTGTCCTCAGTCATATTCCCAGAATTACATCAACCATAAAAAACCATACGTTTTAGAAGTGTTCCTTAAAAGAGTTATTACTTTTTCAAATATTAAACATATTAATTCTATATAGTATATTGATAGAGGTGGGTCTTTTAGGGGTACAGGTTCATAGTGCTATCAATACAAATCAGAGTAATCAGTGCATCAGTGAAATGTCTAAGCATAGGAGGAGTCAGTCACTAGTAGGTGAAAAGTTTTAACACTGAAACCTTGTCTCAGACTAGTGTCCAAGATAGCAGTACATTATTTGAACAAATGCAAATCCTCTTTCAATGTCTCTGTCTATTTAATTTACATGAAAATAGTAGAGTTAAAAGTTTAAAATGTGTAAAAAATCTTTCTCTGAAATTTTGTTCTTTTTTTATCTTTTTACAGACTCCGTTTTCCAAGAAAACCCCCACTGTACTAGTTTCAGATTTTTAAAAAAACCATATTTACATTGCAAGCTGAAATGGTAAAGGACATGGACAAAGAATGAGAAGCAAGGCAAGGAAAATCACACCATCTCCTTGTGTAGCATTGTCCTGTGCAAGATTAAACTGTAAAAAAAAAAAGACCAACTTGTGTGAAGCAACATATCCTGATATAGCCATTTGCACTATTAGTGAAGAAATTCTAAAACGGTGAAATAAGGAATAGTAAAAACCCAGCAATTCTGATGACACTGGTTTTCACATTTAAAAACAATTGTGTGAGTATTACATTTGCTGTGAATCATACAATAGCTGCATTCCAGTATTATTCAATATAAAAACATTATAGTGACAGGTATATATTTTTGCAATAAGGATGTTATCATGAGAAGCACTTTATTCTATGGGGTGAGTAGATATAGATTTTTGGATAGAGTAAACTAGACCATCATAAAAATATTTTTCTGGTTCTTTGGGGAAAAACATTACCAGCAGACTGAAGGGAAGAAATAAAAAGCTCTATTTGCTTATTTTCCACCTTGGTTGCCTCTAGCCATTTGACATATGATTTGACTCACAAAGGGCAATGCTTGGGTGATTACTATATTTATGAAGCTATCCTAATTTTAGGTTTTTGACTAAGGACTTCCCCATCATTCAAGCTGCTCAAGTTGCACACTCTAATAACCAAGCATCTACTACAGTATTTTTGTTATTTTTTTATCCATAGAAAATATTGCATGAGTCAAATGTTGCAGGAATTGCCACTGTAACAAATAGTCATTTTGCTTCCAGGCAGTTACAAATCACAATTCTGTGCTCCTTTAGGTATGCGGCATTGTGTGCTGTATTGATTTTATATCTCTGATTTATGAGAACAACACTTACATGCTGTTTATTGAATGTACCTGCATTCATTTTGCACAGTTAGATCTCTGGGTCACTAAAGGCTACCACAAAGTTGTGTATATAGAATATTAGTGATTCAGCTAGATTCTGTTTAATATCTATAAACATATCTACAAACCTCACACTGTATGTGCTCAGAAATACTGACGCGGGCCTCAGTCAAACCAAAAGGCTTTTGAGATACCTGGGCTCTAGCTAGCTACATGAAAGCTCAAATCTTGCTACAAAGTTATAAGAAAACTCTTCCATAGCACTGGCAGCTTTGCAGAGAATTTTATATTTTAAGTATTTAGGGTGCTATTCAAAAGCTGTTGCCAGTAAGCATAAGCTTTGGTGTACTGTTTTCACAGCTAGCTATTTATGTCCGACTATACCCTATACCCGCGTGCAGTGGGTTAAACCGCTGAGCTGCTGAACTTGCTCACTGAAAGGTTGTAGGTTCGAATCCGGGGAGTGGTGTGCGCTCCTGCTGTTAGCCCCAGCTTCTGCCAATTTAGCAGTTCGAAAACATGCAAATATGAGTAGATCAATAGGTACCGCTCTGGCAGGAAGGTAACAGTGTTCCATGCACTCATGCTGGCCACATGACCTTGGAGATATCTATGGACAAAGCTGGCTCTTCAGCTTAGAAATGGAGATGAGCACCAACCCCCAGAGTCGGACACAACTGAACTTAATATCAGGGGAAAACCTTTACTATACCCTATGAGGATTACTCTCCTTCCAGTTAATCCCTGTCAGACCATTTTGTCAGTTGCTTTTAAAACATCCCAGTTTCTCTTCCTTCCTTCGATCTTCCCTGTTTGTGCTCAGCTTACATCAATAGTTGCAAACAGAGAGAGCAAACATAATTTCTACACATTTAACTCAACAAGGGGTAGGGGAGAAGAGGGCAGTAGCATTTTGCCCTTCCCAGTAAACATAGGCAAAAGAAAACTCACACAGACTCTTCTACTTTGTATGTTCTTAATAACTTTTGCCATCTGTTTGAGTTTTCATTTAATAGATTTTGGAGGCTATGTGATTCCATGCATGGCTAGAAAGAAGTAACCATGTATGGAATCAACAATCAGGAAAAGGTGATTGTAGGGCTAAAGCAGCCATGGGGAATCTTCGGCCCTCCGAGTGTTGTGCACTTCAACTCCCACAATTGAAGGCAGTTAGGAATTGTGGGAGTTGATGTCCAAAACACCTGGAGGGCTGAAGTTTGCTCATGCCTGGGCTGAAGGCTTTGTGTCTGTCTGTCTGTCTGTCTGTCTGTCTGTCTGTCTGTCTGTCTATCTATCTATCTATCTATCTATCTATCTATCTATCTATCTATCTATCTATCTATCTTAAAAGGTGGGATGGAATTAAGCCTCTTTCCAAGCACTGTGCTACCAACAGGACCTAATTATAATGGTTCATACTCATTGCTATTGTAACTCCAATGGACCTTTACTAATATTCAAAGCTCTTATATTAAAAGACAAAAGTACATTCTCATAAGATATGTTTTTAGTGATTCACATAACTCAGGACCAGGATATGGAGATTCCCTATATAGAGGCATCTATTTTCAGAGACATCTGTAGTCACATATTAGGCTGGAGGTGGATCCATCCAGCAAGAATATCTAATTCTTGGGGGGTGCCCCAATAGAAACTCTGGCAGTTTTCTAGATATAAAACTGCATTCCAGTTATCAAAAATGGTAAGGTATGTGGCATTTTGAAGCTGAAAAAAACATGGAAGCATTGATGTTGACAAGGAAAGTAAAAAAGAGAGATTGTTAGGGCAATAGGCAAAAGGTAAATTTGCACAGATTTTGATACTCTGCAAAATAAATTATCTAGATTTAAATTGTATATCCCTCAAAAACTCAGTAGAAAGGATAGCCAGTTTCTTCCCCTGTGATAATCAATGGGGATCCAGCACGATATTAAAACATTGCCTGTTTGGATCTGTGGTAGCTGTTTGTTATTTTCCGCTATGACATTTTGACAACTTTTAGAGCCAATGCAATCATAATTAATGAGAAATGAGCAGTCGGGTCATATGAGGACACATCTTGGCAGCTGGGAGCAAGGAAGCTGATTTTACTTACATAGCTGCTTCCCATGGTGCAGAAGATATGTGCAGATCTGACTGCTGAGAAAATTCTTGAACCCATTTTGGAGAATGTGAATCTTCCATATAGCATGTTTTCTTTGCTCAAACTGCATTTCTGAAATATATCTTAGGCTTCCGGCTTGACTTAATGGGAAACCCCCTGGACATAATGGCAAATGAAAATAGATGTTGTGCCTATTTTTAGCTCGTAATATTAATGTTCTTATCATGCAGAAAGCACTTGCTTTGCAGTGCCATACATGGTTGGTTTAATCTGGATCTCCAACTTCTGTAAATAAGAAACAGAAGCCATACTTTCATTAGAAAGCTGGCAAACAACAGGGCACAATCTATCTGATGCAGTCTGTGCTTATTTCTTTATCCCCTTTTTGCTCTCCAGATTCTATTATATAGGAGCATAAATAGAAATCTTCCTCGGGAGTCTTCCAGCCTCAGTAGCCATAGAAACCAGCTATTTCTATCTATTTTGCATGATATCAATAAATGACTTTTTCTATACTGGATAGACAGGTCAACTCCGCTTCCTGTGAACTGGATGTTCTTTATGAGCCATGCAAATTGATTGTATAATATTGTATATCAAAGAAAAGGGGGAGAAGGATTATTTGTACACATGCAGTGGAATCTGCTAGATAGATTATTTGCACGCTATGAAATACCCTTTAAGAGAGATAAATATTTGTGAGAATTTTTAGAACAGGCCATTTGTAGTACTGATTATTTTATATAAAAAATGTATCTTCAGAGCCAGGTGAGGATGGCAATCTTTCTTTAATATATGAGCTATCTTGTTTCCTAAGGCAACGGCTTACTTTTGAAAAAGGATATTCCACTGTGTTTTTAAACAAATAATTGCTATTGAAAATGCAAGTGTAAAATTAAAGAAAGCTTCCCAATAATAATGTCATTGTTTTCTGAAAACCTGCCTGCCTTTATTAGAAAGGCTTTTTATATAGTAAGATAAAGAATCAGATTTATATGGTCAATAATCAAGTGCACTTTACAAGGAGAAAGACAATTCTAACTTAGGATCCCCACTCACCCACCCAGGATTGTTCAAGCCAGTATTATCTTTCAGGAAAAGGAGCCCCTGGTGGCGCAATGGGTTAAACCCTTGTGCCGGCAGGACTGAAGACCGACAAGTCGGAGGTTCGAATCCGGGGAGAGAGTGGATGAGCACCCTCTGTCAGCTCCAGCTCCCCATGGGGGACATGAGAGAAGCTTCCCACAAGGATGGGCAATGTCCCATCCTTGTTGCCTGGGCAGCATCCTTGCAGACAGCCAATTCTCTCACACCAGAAGCAACTTGCAGTTTCTCAAGTCGCTCCTGACATGAAATGAAATAAAATAAAATTCAGGAATCATCCATTCACTATCCTGCACTGTGAGGATTTTAATAAATCTGTTTCCTCTATCTGGTAGCCAACTCTTTCACCAAGTTATTTTTTTTGTAGGACTGAAGATACTGAAATATATGTTACAGATACCATATATATTCAAATCCTATAAATCTCCGGTTGATTTCACTATGTACTTCCCTCTGTGGCTCTAGAACTTTTGTATCCCTCTGTAAACCTCTATTTGTGACATTTATATACTTACTGTATCCAACTGTAATTTCATTTATATGACCCTCCTGATTATTTGAATGCTTTAAATAACTCAGAGTTGTATTCAACAAACTGGCACTGCATCGAATACTATATATATATATATATATATATATATATATATATATATGAATGAACAGTTATCACAAAAGCTCCCAAACTGTATATGCTGATATAATCATAGGAGCCTTGTGATGGGTGCAAAACACTTGTGGAAAAAATGGTGCTAAACAATATTCTTGAATTATATGCGGTACTATTAAGAACATGGATACAAAGGGAGATTCATCTGTGTCATGCTGGATAATATGAAGATCACCTTGTGAAACTGAATCAATAGATCTATACAGCTGGAAAACCTTTGTTGGGTAAAGTAGAGCTCCATTGACTTTATTACTGATAAGCAAGTCTGCTGGGTGCATTCCAGTGTTTTTCAATGCTAGTGAAGCACAACATCTTACAATCAAATCAGGAAAACTCTTATGGCATTGCTGACTTCCTTTCAGCATTTCACAGATATCTTTGGGTTGTAAGTACATGGACTCCAAAAGACTTTTGCTGTAACAAGGTGGTTTACAAGGTTGTATTATAAATTATAGATGCCTATCATGTCTATATCTTTCACTGAAATACTTGCCTATTGATTGGTCTCCTGGCTGATTAATTCCCTGTTCTGCCTGATGCCAAGTTTGGAACCAGTTCAATTGCTTGACCTCAGTTTCTTCCTATGTTTGTTTGTTCAGATCTATGCACTTGCAGTAAGCACTTTTCTGCTGTAACTGTGAAAGCATGCTAAGGAGAGCGGAAATGTTAATTGCAGTAATAAACAGAGTTTATTATTCCATCTCTTCATAGTCTAAAACTTGCATCTGCCACCATGCTGCTTTACTTATTGAAATCAGTGAGTTGAAATTTCTGCTACACCTCTAACTTGAACAACCACATATTGAACAATTGAAAGAAGCAGAAAGATAGCATTTGTTTACGATCCAAAACAGAATGTAAAAAGGGTGGTTGGGAGGGATAGATAAATAAGGTCATGGCAGTGAAACTCAATAGTCCAATCTCC